TTCATTCAAGAATGCAATGTACAACTTACTCAGAATAATCTGGAAGTTGTTCATCTCTTGAAGCCTACTAAGGTAATAACTAAATTTAAACGAAACACAAAAATATGCACTGACATAGCGTCTCTTAGCTCTCAAGCATCTGTTTTTTGCCTTGAATGTTACCAACTTTTTTCTGAATCTCCCATAATTTCAACCTGCCCCAATTTATTCCAGAATGCCAGAGGTTATGGGCAATCTCCAGGGCCTTATTATTGGGATTTACTCTACCTGGATTATGCAATCGGGTTTGAACCAATTTCTTAGTGTCTCTCATTCTGATCCAGAACACACATACTAGGTTGAACCCACATGAAATTGCAGACATTTGACTATTTCTGACCTACAAGGACAGTAACTGTTTATGTTCAACCATAGTTTAATGCATTTTCTTTCTTTTTTGTTTTCTTACATAATCTCTATGCCCAACGTGAGGCTCGAAATCATGACCCTGAGATCAAGAGTTGCGTGTTCCACAGACTGAGCCAGCCAGGCGGCCCAATACATTTTAATATTTTCTATTCCTTCTACTGTTAAAATGCTGCTCTTGTGCTTTTGAACTTCACTAAGTAACTGAATTAATAAATGACTTACTGACAAGTATTTCTAACAAGCTTTTCAACCCCAGGATTGCAGGGTGCCCCATGTCACTTCTGTGTGACTTAACCATACATATTTACACATACATTCTGTATCCATCACTCCTAAGCCAAATTTAGTATGCATCTGTCCATTCTTTTCTTAGCTGTATCCTCACACAAAGAAAGGCAAATCAATGGCACAGAGAGACAACTGAAGGCATTTATTTTTTCTTGAAACTCATTTGCCGTAAAACCAACCAACCACCTGAGATAAGGAAAATGGTGGTCATGTTTTGCCTTCTCTTTGCCAAAGGTAAACAAAATGGCACATACTCCCTACTAGGTCTGACATGCCACTCTCACATCCTTTTTAATCACTGGATTGTGGAGGGAGAGCATGATTCCTATCTCTCCATTCTTTTCCCCTTCTCTCAGACTGAGCTGAATAAAATGACGTGGATTAAGTTTGTTTGCTTTCCCCAATCCCATGCTATTTCTATATTTAATAAACAAGCAAAAAACGCCCCTAACCCACCTGTCCTGCTCTCCTAGAAATGAATTTGGCCTCCTTTGCAAAAATTGCTAAAATTACAAACATCAAATAATTTTAAACAGCATGCCCTGAAAAATGTGAGAAAATTCTTCCCTTAATATTCCAAATTCTGTAACTTGTGGCGAAGTTACACATTATATGCCTTAAAAATACGAATTGCGGGGCGCCTGGGTGGCTCGGTCGTTAAGCGTCTGCCTTCGGCTCAGGTCATGGTCCCAGGGTCCTGGGATCGAGCCCCGCATCGGGCTCCCTGCTCCTCGGGAAGCCTGCTCCTCCCTCTCCCACTCCCCCTGCTTGTATTTCCTCTCTCGCTGTGTCTCTCTCTGTCGAATAAATAAATAAAATCTTTAAAAAAAAAAAAAATGAATTGCAAGAAAGCAAACACTACATGACAATTCTGAGACTTTAAAAGGTTTCATAAAGGCCCCAGGGGTATAGGAAATCTTAAAATGATCTCATACATAGTCACATGTCACTGCTTACAGGGAAATAACACTCCACATTCCAAATAGATTAAATTCCTAACCTGTTTATATGCTCTATTCTAATTATGTTCCACTCTGAGGAACTCTTTTCTTTAGCTAACCACCTTACAGACTAAAGTCTCACTATAAAGCACATCATATGTGTCCTACTACATGGAGGATCACCCCTCAGATTACCACCTACATAATCAGAATGTTGAAGCATGTTGTGGATGGGTCTTCTGGTTTTTAGAATATTGGAGAATCATTAAAATCCTGAGGACTGTTTTTCCTTAAAGACTCATTAGGGCACAATTTAGCATTAAACGTTTATTAAAAAGCCTAACAAGACAAAGATTGAATTGTTTTAGAAATGAATAGAAAATTCTTGGCCTTTTTCATATATGTTAAGTACGAGGCATCGTCACAGATTATGGAATTCTGTTGAAGTCTCAGCATCCTATGGCAGAGCCTTTACTGCATGCTGAAAATAATAACTTTTATTTAAAGAGTTCCATCCGTGGGAGGCATTGTGCTAGGTGGCTGAAACATTTATTATCTCATGTAATCTTCACCATCCATAAGGTGCTTATTAACTCTTAAGAGTAGTGATGATGCATCCCAGAATTGCTTCTCATTCCATTGCTTTCAAAATACATTTCTAGGGATAGGACTCAGGCATTGGTATGTTTTTAAAACTCACCAGGGGATTCTAATGCAAAACCACAATCCAGAATCACTGTTAGTCGGATTTAAAAGCAGCAGTATCTTAATTCAAAAATAAGCCTCAGCAGCACAGCTGGCCCTCTCCAATACACCATAACCCCCACAAGGACTTTGGGAAGACTCCCAACAGACTTCCCTCATATCCAGGGATTCCACCTTCTATTGACCTCCTGCTGGCACAATCTCCTCCAGAACTACATGCTATGACCATAGTCTCCCATTTCTCCTCAAACTATGCTACTCCTCACCATCTTCCACTCCACATCATCCCCTTTTGGGAGAATATAAACTGGGTGTTACAGCGCAACTAATGAATCATTGAACGCTAGCTACCTCAAAAACTAATGATGTACTATATGTTGGCTAATCGAATTTAAATAAATACAAAATAAAAAAATAAACTGATCATCAGGTTAAAATAATTTCCACAAAAACACGAACAAGCAAAAAAATGAACCAAACGACTTGACACTCCTATTTCTGAAAAGTTGCTAATACCTTTTGTTTTGGCCTCAAGCAGTGTGGATGAATAGGAGGGGTGCTTTGGAGTAAAAATTCTCTCATTTCCTTGTACAAAACAATGTTCACTTAGATACTATTTGCTGCTTTCAGGATATAAATATGTGGGGTATTAATGTGAGAGCAGCCAGAAAGAGATTAGCTAAATTGTTCCAATAATTACTCAAAATGGCAGTGTAACTCCCATCATTTGAACCTCCCCTCCAAAGGCAAAAAATTAAAATGCAAATATTACTTTCAGTATTTTCAACAATTCACTTATTTTCAAAGTGTTCTTTTAAAAGTGCACCTTAGGGGCACCTGGGTGGCTCAGCTGGTTAAGCCTCTGCCTCCGGCTCAGGTCATGATCCCAGGGTCCTGGGATCGAGCCCCCGCATTGGGCTTACTGCTCAGCGGGGAGCCTGCTTCTCCCTCTCCTGCTCCCGCTCCCCCTGTTCGTGCTGTCAAATAAATATAATCTTTAAAAAAATTTTTAAATAAATAATAAAGTGCTCCTTAGGGATGCCTGGCTGGCTTAGTTGGGAGAGGGGGCAATTCTTGATCTTGGAGTCATGAGTTCAAGCCCCACACTGGGTATAGAGATTACTTAAAAAAAAAAAAAAAAAAACTCCATAAATTTTGCATAGAAAAGGTCTTTATGATAGCAACGTATGTGAAATAGGGGGAGAACAATGAAGAAGTTTATTTAACAGTGGTAGTTATACACTGACCCAACTATCAATAAGCTACACCACCATATTACCAAACAGTGCCCTTTCCACGCTTTTCCCTCAGGCTTTTAAAATTCCATCCAGTTTTTCTACTACCAAGTTTATATTCCCCCCAACATGGCAAAAGCTCAGACATTAGTAATTCCTAATTAAACAAGAACCCAATTCAAGATCCTTTATATAATAAAGTTCTCTGGCTTGAATTTCAATCCTAATTTTTAGGGCACCACCAAATTCCACCATTCAACAGTACCTAGTGCAACAACTCAAGATACACACTTACCTAAGATTTTTTGGGGGCAGGCTTCCCACAGTTTCACAATATAAATTGTAAACGGAGATTGGTTACATACAGGAATAAAAGTCGTTGGTTCAATATTAACTCTTATATAGCGTGGAAAAACTATGGAACAGGCATGCCTGGTTAGCTGTCAGAAGAGCATGCAACTCTTGATCTTAGGTCATGAGTTCGAGCCCCACATTGGGTGTAGAGATTAAATAAATAAAACTTAAAAAAACCTACAGAAAACCTGTCTGGGGAAGCTCGTTCACCATAAAAATAGGGGATGTAAAAAAAAAAAAAGACCATATTGCAACAGAATGAACTAAGTGAATGACAAGGCATGATAGTACATGGGGACTTAATCCCAAAAGGCCACATTGGTGAGTTAAGAGGAGTGGAAATTCAGTTTCTTGAGAACCAATATGGAAGAACTGCATTAACAGGGATCATACCTATTCTCTAGTCCTAGCTTCATAATCCTCTGTGTGACAAGTAACAACCCTCCGGAACTCAGCTTCCTCATCTCTAAAACGGGTTAGTCTCTAAAACGGGTTAGAATTAGGTAATCTAAATCTCTCCAGCTCTAATATTCTGTTTACTAGTTTTAGAGCTGTTACCCTTCCCCACACATTTGAATTTAAAAACTGTGGTGCCCTGCATATTTAAGGCTGTTAGAGTGGAGATATGTGGATAAGTATTTTCTGTCCTTCAACATCCTCAAGGAACGAAGACTCTATTTTGGGTTAGGGAATATTTATTCATCAAAGGAGGCTAGAATGGTTGAGTGATTTATCAGCAGAGTTAGCAAACTCAACTTTCTCTTAGCTGCATGTACTAACCCATTCTGCCAGGTAGTGGTTACAGAGAATACTTGGGAGTAAATCCACAACATTATGACCCAATTTTTGCTAGTAAAGTTGCGTATTTGGAACTGCCTAAGCTTTTTAAACAAAGAGGCTGAAACATCAGTTACTAGTCATTTATAAACTTTGTTATTCTTTGTTTTGTATCAGTCTGTCAGGAATGCAGTGTAGCTTTATTTCTTCCTTGAAATGTTACTTCTAGCAGCCTACTCATTTCATGGTTTTTTCTAAGCTTCTCAATATTCTTCAGAATAAAGAAAACAGCTCATTTTAAACAAGAAGTTTATTTAAACAACAAGACGCTTGACTTGAAGGGAAAACTATCTAGGATTCATTTCTTTTAGAGTAATTTATCCCTACTTAAAGACAGATTGCCCTACATGTAACAGCTACGTACAAAAAAGTTATAAAATTGTCCTTGGTTTTACAATGATAAATGAAAAACATTAAAATTCTCCAATCGAACAAGGTATGCAAGGATTTTTATGTTGTTCTTTTTTTGTTAAACAGTGAGAGCAAAATAACTTACTGGAATATAAAGATAAGAGCTGACTGAGCATGCCACTAATGGAGAGAGGGGGTATTTTCACAGAAGCAGTATTTTCCCCCATCCCATCTCCATTTGATGTCGATCAAAACATACCATTGGCCATTTAGTTAAAAAAAAAAATGCAATATGCTTGTGCACATACACAGTTACTTTATGTACAATAAAGGAATGGGGAAGGGGAAAATGAAAGAATAGAGAAAACTATACTGTAGTAGTCAGGATGTGGTGGAACCAAATTGCGGCTTTCTAATTGAGAATGTCTTCTTGGTCTGGAGGAACAGAGTTCTGGAGTAAAGTAGCAGGTTCCCTTTTTAGTAGACACCTCCTGTCTGCTGCTGGAACACATCAATTGTATCTTCATCCTCCATTTCCAACTGGCATACGAGAGAAGAAAAACAAATGGAAGGCCACTGATTATCAGCTCTTAAGATCTGTAACTCTCAAGTACCCCGAAAACTGCACAAGTTCCACCCAATTTCAGTGTTCATATTGTGGACATCCCATAGCTTAATGTAGCACCAGTCTTAAATTAACTTTTCACTTGGTCTTCCTTATATGAAGATTATAGAAAACTTAGTTTTTAAGTGAAAAAGCTGGGGAGCACCTGGGTGGCTCAGTTGGTTAAGCATCTGCCTTCGGCTTGGATCATGATCCCAGTATCCTGGGATCAAGGTCCACATTGGGCTCTCTGCTCAGCAGGGAATCTGCTTCTCCCTCTCCTTTTGTCCCTCTTCCCTGCTTGTGCCACCCCCCTCTCAAATAAATAAAATCTTAAAAAATAAGAATTTTAAGTGAAAAAGCTGAATATGTGCACGAGTTAAACTGCCTCCCTTTTAATTATTGAAAATAAAAATGTTATAAAAATGATAAATTTATCACTTATCATAATGATAAAAATAAAGAATTATATAAAAGGGCGCCTGGGTGGCTCAGTCATTAAGCGTCTGCCTTTGGCTCGGGTCATGATAGCAGGGTCCTGGGATCGAGCCCTGAATTAGGCTCCCTGCTCAGTGGGAAGCCTGCTTCTCCCTCTCCTACTGCCCCCGCCGCTTGTGTTCCTGCTCTCGCTGTCTGTCTCTGTCAAATAAATAAATAAAATCTTAAAAAAAAAAGACATAAAAAACAAAATAAATGGAAATAAGAATATGTGTAAAGGGTCTCACTGCAATGTTGTTTAAATGAGCAAAAGACTGGAAATAACCTAAATATCAATAAAAACTCAAAGAAATGTGGTACACTCTTAACATGAAATACCACACAGATTTACATGTTTAGAAATGGAACTATCCCTAAGATATAATATTAGGCTAAAAACAAACTTAAAAACTAGGTAGCAGAGTACCTGGGTGGCTCAGTCAGTTGGGCGTCCGACTCTTGATTTCAGCTTGAGTCATGACCTCAAGGTGGTGAGTCCAGCCCTGAGTTGGTCTCCAGGCTCAGCAGTCTGCCTGGGATCCTCTCTTCCCCCTTTTCCCTCTCCCCTTCCCTCTGCTCATGCTCAATAAATAAATACAGGGCGCCTGGGTGGCTCAGTTGGTTAAGCGACTGCCTTCGGCTCAGGTCATGATCCTGGAGTCCCTGGATCGAGTCCCGCATCGGGCTCCCTGCTCAGCGGGGAGTCTGCTTCTCCCTCTGACCCTCCCCCCTCTTATGTGTTCTCTCTCATTCTCTCTCTCTCAAATAAATAAATTAAAAAAATCTTAAAAAAAAATAAATAAAATAAATACATACATAAAATCTTAAAAAAAAAAAAACCAAAACCAAAAAAACTAACGAGATGGTGAAAGTGCTTACAATATGACTATATTTATATTTCTAAAAGTGTGTTTGTGTATGCGCACGCAGGCATAACATGAATGCATCCTGGCACGTGCAGGAAGCATTGCAGTTAGCTCTGTGCAGTAAGGGAAGGAATATGTGTAAGGACAGATTTATTAAAAAACTACTTTAAATTTTAAACTGTAACTCACAAACTAAGTTTGCAAGGCTCACTACCCACACATTATACATAAAAGAACCATCCTTTCTACCACAGTAGAAAAATCTTGGTACATATGGCAATCCTATGAAATAAATAACCTTTGTAACAGTTTATTATGCTGAGGGCGCCTGGGTGGCTCAGTTGTTAAGTGTCTGCCTTCGGCTCAGGTCGATCCCAGAGTCCTGGGATCGAGCCCCACATCGGGCTCCCTGCTCCGCGGGAAGCCTGCTTCTCCCTCTCCCACTCCCCCTGCTTGTGTTCCCTCTCTCGCTGTGTCTCTGTCAAATAAAAAATAAAATCTTAAAAAACAACAAAACAAACAAAACCCCACAGTTTATTATGCTGATAATTACCCTCAAAAAACACATTCTAAAAACTGGTAATTTGGGGGGAGAAAAACAAAAACAAAAATCAAGAACCCTGGATACCTAAAGACAAGAAAGGGAATCATTTCTAACGAAGTTAAAATACACTAAAAGTAGGACTGTGGCATTAAAATGTTAATGACTAAGTCTCAATTCCCTCTTTTGTAAATTGAAATAGCATTCAGTTGTAAGAATTAAATGAGTCGAAGAGAATATTTAAAGAACGGTGGGCACTTAATTATATTACTATTAAAACTGGTCATTAAGATGTTCTAATTTTTACTTCTATTTAATAAACATTGGGAGAATAATTCTAAAATGAATCAATTTCATTCTACAGTTAAATTCAATTTCAAATTCTCAAAGGAATTTGATTCCACATTCAATGTAAAGATTTTATAATGCAGTTCTGAACAAATCCTCGTCACAGTTTAATATCTGCAGCCAGCAACGTAGAGACACGAACTTCTTTTTGGTGGTGGGTGAGAGCATCAAAAGACAGCAAATACATCCTAAACATCCAAGCTTAGCAGAATAGGTTTTTATTCTTCTTAAACCATCAAAACATGTCTTCAGCCTATCTACTAAAATAAAACCCCCAGCATGTTACATTTATAGTGAAACTTGCAATGCCTTCAAAGGATAGAAGAGTTTTTCCTGTCTCTCATTCACCAAGGGAATTCAGCTCCTCCTTGTGGCTACCTACTATAACTGCTTCTTAGAGACTCATCACAGGAAATTACTTCAAAATATTCTTCCCTCAATTACAAACCAGACATTTCAAAAAAAAAATTTTTTTTTTTAAAGATTTTATTTATTTGACAGAGAGAGACACAGCGAGAGAGGGAACACAAGCAGGGGGAGTGAGAGAGGGAGAAGCAGGCCTCCCGCCAAGCAGGGAGCCCAATACGGGGCTGGAACCCAGGACCCCGGGATCATGACCTGAGCCGAAAGCAGACGCTTAACGGCTGAGCCACCCAGGCGCCCCAATATTTCAAATTTTTGAAGGTTATCAACAAAACCACAACCAGGGTAGGCTGCTTCACTCCTACCATATTTACCACTTTCTAGTTTTTATGGACTGATAAATTTAAAAGTAGAAAGGCTCCAACTTAAACTTCTATCAAAATATTTTTTCCCTAAACTAGAAGTCTTGAGTGGAACCCGAGAGGGTAAAAAGAAACAAAGACAAAGAGCTTCTGCCATAGAAGACCGCCCAGCTGATATCTTACAAAGTGACATGTGAAGAGAGAAAGGGATCAGACACAGCATCACCTTTTGCAGAGGCTTTGGAAAGCCACATAGTATCAAGAACCCTACTGATCGAGCAAAACCATCAAGATACTTCCAGTTAGAGCCCCAAGATCCCTTTAGTTCACAAGGACAACTAAAAGCGATTTCAGCATGAGAAGTAAAAAGACTCAGGATCAACAGCCAACCAATCACTTGTGGGGGAACCCGGAGTATGATCAAGAGCTATAGCAACAAAAACAGCATTCTGAATTATTTTCTCCAAATAATGCTGGCAATAGGAAAGAATGGATTAAATTAAATGACCTGTCAGCTTTACAAAACGATAACTGGATATTTAAAAACCACTGACATATCCTGAAGAAATACTAATATTCATATTTTAGAGTTTTGCACTTGGGTGAAAAACTGTATTCCAATGTCTAAAAGTTTACAAATAAAAACAAGGCTGTTGAGAAAATTACAAAACACTGACTTTTCTAGTTAGCACAAAGAGATTTTTACCTGTGCAGGTGTGTCTGTTTCATTGATTGGCTGCCCATCAAATCGGAATCTGATCTGCCTCATTGACAAACCCTACAAGAGAGTTTAAAAGCAGTAAGAATGCAAAGAAACAGAACTAAAATTATATGCATACTTAGCCATAAATATATTAAAAGAAACCTAAATAAACAATCATCAACATGTTAACATTTCTGTGTGGATAAAAAGATTTGGCATGACTTTCACACTTTCTTTGAACTATGTTTGAACTTCTTTGGAAAAATGATTTTTTAAAAAGATTTTATTTATTTCAGAGAGAGAGAGAGAACAAGCTGGGGGAGGAACAGAGGGAGAGAGAAAAGCAGACTCCCCACTGAGCAGGCTGACTTGGGGCTTGATCCCAGAATTCCAGGATCATGACCTAAGCCAAAGGCAGACGCTTAAACAACTGACCACCGACCACCCGGGTGCCCCCAAAATGATTTTTTTAAAAAAGGTCTTTTTAGGGGCACCTGGGTGGCTCAGTTGGTTAAGCAGCCAACTCTTGATTTTGGCTCAGATCACGATCTCAGGGTCGTGAGATGGAGCCCCAAGTCAGGCTCTGTGCTCAGCAGAGTCTACTTGAGATTCTCTCTCCCTCTCCCGGTGCCCCTCCCTCAACTCACACTCCCACTCTCTCAAATAAAAAAATCTTGAAAAAAAAAAAGGTCGTTTAAAAAAGCTGTATTACTTTGAGACCACAGCTACTCCAAGCTTGAATAGATTATAGCTTCAAACTATTTTTTTTTTTTAAGATTTTATTTATTCATGAGAGACAGGCAGAGGCAGAGGGAGAAGCAGGCTTTCCGTGAAGTAGAAAGCCCGATGTGGGACTTGATCCCAGGACCCTGGGATCATGACCTGAGCCAAAGGCAGACGCTTAACAACTGAGCCACCCAGGTGCCCCAGTCAAACTGCATTTAAATGAGTTAGAAAGATACTGAAATTTAAAGTAACATATTTGCACAGCAACATTCTTCTGTGTTTAAAGAGCTCTCCAAAAAGGGGGGAAAAACCCACCCTTAATAATGAAAACTGTAAGTCACCTAAATAAATGTAATAATTAAAATTTTGCCTTAAAGCTACTTAACCTTCATTTCTATCCAAACAATTCCTTTCACCAAGCAAGAGAAACCTATGTCAAAACCCAGCACAATGTTAGGCACACCACAAGAATTCAACAAGTTCTTACCCTTCGGTAATCAACATTTCCACCATAACTGTCCTAAAACCATCCATAAGCACACAAGCTTAAAACTGTGGAATACCTCAAAAGAACCACCTGCTTTTAAAATTCCTTCTCAGTACTTACCTAGACCAGCAATGATTATTTGTCAACCTCTCACTAAAAAGCACGCTCCAGGAGGGACAAGAACCTAAGACTGTCGTGGTTATACTGCATTCCTTGCACACAGCAGGTGCTCATGGGTATGTTACTGATGGAATAAAATGGATGAAATGCAGTATCTACCTTACCATGCTTCATTTTATTTAAAAATAAATCTAAAGCTACTAAGTTGAGGAGCAACTTTATTACAAAAAGGAAATTTTAAAATTACATTACTAGAGTTTAGCTTCAAGAAATTTTTATATTTAAGGAGATAAATGAGCCTAAGTATGCCCCTTCTGCAAAACAGATTCGGAAGTTTTACTAATCATTACCTACCTGGGTGGGGAAAAGGGGAAAGGAACAAAGTAGCAAAGCTGGTAACTGCAGCCAAATGAAGACAAGAGAGGAAAATAAAGTATCTTTGGAGACATGCTGTGAATATATTAACTGGAAAAAGAGCTTTTAAGGAAGCATCCTACAAAAAAATCACTCCTGTATCATACTCAAATCACCAGCTATAATTACTGTTACACAAATCCCTGTGTCAACTTAACTGAGTTCCTAGGACTAGAATATTGAAACAAAGTGTTCAATACTTATATGACACCTGTATTCCTTTATTTAACATGGATTCATTAAGTCTGTCTTTAAAACTACCTTTAACATGAAGATCCTATTACCTTCCTTTAAAACTCTAGTCTGACACGTAACACTTTCAGACTAGCCTTTGTCTTGAGGAATACAAGCAATTCCCAGACCAGATAGGAGACATCCACAACCTTAATTCATTCCTCATGACATCCAAATTTAATTTGTGATTATGCAAAGCAACCATGAATTAAATGCCAAGCCATTAACTACTAACTATACATTTGCAAACACTCCATCGAAGACCCATTGCTGTAACAAAATACTAAGCCAAATGCTGGGTTCTTCCTCTACTATATCCACTAGAAAGGTCCTAAGGTCAATGGCATGGCCATTCAAAACAAGAGGGGAAAAAAACACAAGACCAGAACACGCATCATATTCCTTTATTACTACCTGTTTGCATGCTTTTCCTTAACAATAAAATGTTTTATTTTGCTACAGATCAAAAGTCCCAAATTCAGGAGACTTGCCTTTCAGATTCCATGAATCCTGTAAATTCAAACAATGAATTTACATTAAACCAGTATTTGGGTTCCACTTCTGAGTAAATTTTATCCCTGAGCTTTACCTTCAGAGTTGTACCACAGAAGAGCTCTGTGAGGTTATCTCTTTGGATCCCTATTTCTTCATTTCACAAAAATGAACGGGACTAAACCAATGAATCAGCCTGGGCTCTCTGAAGGCACTTAACATTCCATGAAAGAATCTGTTATAGTAAATGCACACTAGAGTGGAATAGTATGCCCTCAGCCAAAAGCTATACAGCTGACAAAGTGGGCAAACTCAATTCTACATGTGAATAGAAAATTTATTTACAAACCAACCTCTGGAGGCAGTTTGAACGTTCTCTATCACTTTATAAGCATTTATTGAACACACTCTATATGTCAGGTAGTGGTTTAAGTTCTAGAGAAATAGTGAACAAAAAGGCCCTATGCTCATGTAGCTTACATTTTAATGGAGAGACAAATACAGTGATCAATACAAAAAACAGTGAGAGGACCGAGTGATGGGAGCAGAAGCACTCTGAATTAATCAGGAAAGTCTCTGAAGTTAGTAATCAACCAAGAGTGGAATAAAATGGTTGAGGGTTCAGCACTATCCAAGAGAAATATGTGAGCTACATATATAATTTTAATTTTTCTAATTGCCACGTTAAAAGCAGGTAAAATTTTAAATGTTGTAAATCAATATATTAAAAATCTTTTTGTTTTAACATATAATTAACATTTGAAAAATTAAGATATTTTACTTTTCCCACTATGAGTTTTCAAAATCTGGCATATATTGTACACTTTCCAGCACATATTAATTTGGACTAGCCATGTTTCAGGAGATAAACAGTCACACGTGGCTTGTGGCTACTGTTTTGAACAGTACAGGTTTAAGTAGAGAACAGAATTTGTTGATGGATTTTATAGGAGTTCTAAAGCATCAAAGATGATCCCAAGATTCTGACCTCCCAACTAAATGTAACCTAGTGCTATTTATTGAGAGGGGACACCAGAGAAAAAGATTTCTAGGAGTACAATCAAGAGTCTTTTGCACATTCAATTTGAGATGCCTATTAGACATCTACTGGAACCCCTCCAAAGATCCAATGCCAACTGAGTTCATTAGAAAGTAAATATGAGCATTCAATTAATCTTGATAAGAAATCCTTAGTCAAGAATCCTGAACTGTCAAAAAAAACACAAAAAACCACCTTTAACTATGCAAATTAGATTGGATAAATATTTTAGACTTTTGGGGCGCCTGGGTGGCTTAGTTGTTAAGCGTCTGCCTTCGGCTCAGGTCATGATCCCAGGGTCCTGGGATCGAGCCCCGCATCGGGCTCCCTGCTTGGTGGGAGGCCTGCTTCTCCCTCTCCCACTCCCCCTGCTTGTGTTCCCTCTCTCACTGTGTCTCTGTCAAATAAATAAATAAAATCTTAAAAAGAGAAAAAATTTTTTAGAATTTTTAAAGGCGTTATACCTACACTTAAAAAGCAGGGATCAGCCCAATTAGGTGACACTTCAACTCCCTCTTCCTTAGAATGAGAGAAGTAAACATTTGAAAAGTAAACAGGGATCTTGTTTCAATCAAAACTCTGAGGTTATTCCCAATTTAAAAAGAAAATGGGAACTAATCTTTCCAAATTTTCCTGAATCTTATCTTCAAATTCTATTTGCATTCCAAGTGATATGCAGTGGAATTATATTTTTTATGGATTACCAATACTTTTTCCCCTAGTGCAAATTAAGATGGCCCCAAGTTTAGTCAACTTAAACCTAACTGAAAAAATTTAAGAAAAACTTTATTTACATGAGTAATGCACTAAAAAAAATTTTTTTTTGACAGAGAGAGAGACAGTGAGAGCAGGAACACAAGCAGGGGGAGTGGGAGAGGGAGAAGCAGGCCACCTGCCAAGCAGGGAGCCCGATGCAGGGCTCCATCCCAGGACCCTGGGATCATGACCTGAGCTGAAGGCAGATGTTCAACGACTGAGCCACCCAGGCGCCCCAATACACTAAATTTTAACATACCAGGAAAATCACCGAATTCTTGATTGACCTACTAACTCAATCTTACAGAACAATCTCATAAAGACAATCTGCAATATGGGATGTGCTATGTGTCTTTGTTTTTCTGGCATACGGTATAAAGCCCCAGCACATGGTAGGCATCTGATAAATATCAGATAAGTAAAAAGTTCCTTTGGGTCCCCTACAAGAAATACAGAAGTCTTAAATATGAACAGTCTAGGATTAATAGAAGTTATCAATAGATATGTATAATAAAATCTTAATGGTTAAACTAGGTAGTAAGCACGTGGGTATTCAATGAAGTTTTTCAACTTTGAATTACAGTTGAGTTTCCATATTAAGTTTTGAAAAATAGGACCATTTAAAAAATGTATGACCATCTAAAATCTAAAACTTAGTAACGAGAAAAGATAGGCAGAGAATTTTGTTGAAAACCACTAAATCTAGGGCGCCTGGGTGGCTTCGGCTCAGGTCATGATCCCGGGGTCCTGGGATCGAGCCCCACATCGGGCTCCCTGCTCCTCGGGAAGCCTGCTTCTCCCTCTCCCATTCCCCCTGCTTGTGTTCCTGCTCTCGCTATGTCTCTCTGTCAAATAAATAAATATTAAAAAAAAAAAAAAAAAACCACTAAATCTAAGCATGAGTTTCTACTTTGTAAGGTATGCTATGTAAAAGTTCTACAAGATTACCTTTTAAAATTCCCCTGTAACCTGAAGGGGCACTAGTGTTCAAATATGGAAGACGCTAGAGTAAAAATTCTTTAGCACAAGTAGGAAGTACATATTTATTAGTGTGTAGAGGGATTTCACCAAAATTCTTCAAATAAGAGTACACTGAAATTCATTATCTTTTAAAGAACTATAGGGGCGCCTGGGTGGCTCAGTCATTAAGCATCTGCCTTTGGCTCAGGTCATGGTCCCAGGGCCCTGGGATGGAGCCCCACATCGGGCTCCCTCCTCTGCGGGAAGCCTGCTTCTCCCTCTCCCCCTGCTTGTGTTCCTGCTCTATCTGTCTGTCAAATAAATAAATGAAATCTTTAAAAAAAAAAAAAAAGAACTTTAAGATTAGTTTACGTATGAAGATAAAAATCATATAAGCACAGTATTCTATTATAAATAAATTAGGCATAAAACAAAGTTTCAATCTCAAAATGAAGTTTATCCTCAGTTTCTTCCAAATGCCCTTAGAGCTCATGCAGGAAGTCCAAATATCAGCTCAAACTCAATCTCCCAACTTCTATAGGTTTAAGTCTTACTCTATTTGGAGCCTATTTTTAGGACAATTTGCAATGCAGACAACTTGTTTTTGTCTAAAAGAATGACTTCCCCAACTTTTATATGTTATACATTCAAAGTTGAATAAAAAAAATACTTCTGCCAGGTTATTATTGAATTAACTAATAAAGGTATCAGAGTTTTTGATATACTTGCAAAAGTCATCTTTAAAGTTGCCTCTGTATTGTTACAGATTCAACCTCACAAAAGGAAGCTTCTTTGTCTTAAACTCTGCACTCACCTCCCAGCATCTATTCATCTCTACTTCCTCTTCTTGCTGTCCATTTACTAATTTCTGAGTAAAATGCAAATGTCCCTATAACATAGGAATGTTTCTGCCTGACTCAGGAGGTTAAATTTCTTGACATCTACCATTATTTAAGAAAATATTACAATTTTACATGCTTCAGGAAAATTGCAGTTGTTAAACTCACAATTTAATTTCCAAATTTGTTTAAATGCTCAAAATGTTTTGATGTGACACAAATTTTAAATGGATTTAAAAAAAAAAAGAGCCTAACAAGAAATTTTATCAAGATCATTCTTATTCTTTTATAAAAGTAAAATCTCATCCCCTGAGGAACAAATTCTGTGTTGTGGCTATAATTTGATGAATTCTGGCATAGGACTAGAATCATATAGAATATTAACCAAACCATCCTAAGGACTTTCATGAAGCATCAACATACCAAGTGTAGGATATAACTGATATGTCAAGTATATAAGTGCATTCATTCAACCAAAAGATAATTATAATATTATGCCAGCCTAGCTTCTGTTCTCAAAAAAATAAGGTTTTTCTTAATAAGTTTTATTTTAAGTGCGTATGTCAGTTCCTCACCTGTCGTTCACAATAGGCTTTCATTAGTTTACTAAGTGGTGTATGCCTCTTAATCTTAAACTGCACCACAGAACCATCCTGCCCCGCCACCTTCAAATTAATATGATCGTTGTTCTCAGTCTTGACTCCTTCCTGTTGAAAGAAAAATAAAAGTATAATTTGGAAAATGTGAAAAACAAACACCTTTTAAAGTAGCAGCAGCCCAACTTGCTTCAGAAATCAACAGGTTTCTCATTCTGTATGATAAAAGAGTATACAGCTGTTTTCAGCCGCTGAAATCAATCTGAAAGATGAAAAATCCTGGAGCGATATTAAATAGCTGTCGCAGAAACGGAAAAGTAGCCTACATGCAATACCATCAGCGAAAACCATTGACTTTTATCGATGGGTCCCACTCAATTCACTGAAAGGCACTCCTGCATCTGAATTTCCTAAAATGGCCTATTTTATCCCTCAAAATTTGTCATTTCCCTTAAAAAGATTAAAAATAACCATCCTTTCTCTTTATAAAGCGCTTTAAGTACAGAATGCAAGGATAAAAATCTAGAACTTGCAACCGAAAACTCATTACAACCGTCTTGTTAAAAAGTTACTAAACTCAATTTAATAACTTATATCTCAACTACATTTAAAAAAAACCTAACTGGGGAATATCCCTCGATTCTCTCTGAAGCAGCGGTAGTAACTTAGAACCACTATTCATGTTCGCCTCTATTAGCAGCCTCACTTTTGTTTATTTTCAGTTAAGAGCTCTTATTCTCCCCTCCCCTTTGTTGTCATGGGTCAAATGCAGTTTTCTTCCAAGTCTTCCTTGTAGATTTCCACCCAACCTGAAGTTCACCAAAATCAAAGGCTGATGTAATTCTGTAGCCCCCAAGTCACTTCAGAAAGGAAAGGGGAGGGGGTGTCACAGAACAAACCCTACGAAAGTCCCGTGTGCCAGGATTAGAAGCGTGTGCCTCAGTCCTCACGGGAAGAGCCTCCCGGTGCCTCAAAACCCGCGTTAAAAAGTTAAGCCCTACCAAGTCTTTCTGCTCGCACCTCTGCCTCCAACTTCTCGAAACCGCACGGTCTCCGCAGGTTAGGGGTGATCTGGCACCCAGGCAAAAGCCCCTGCCCAGCCCCCTGGGGACCCCGAAGCCGGGAAAGTGGGAAATACTCCCCGGGAATCCCCGAACCCCCGGCCCCTCACTACGGCCCGACGGGGAACCCATCGGCAGCCCATTGATTCTCCTCGAGCCCTCTCCAGGCCAGCGCGGCGCGGGGCAGGGGTCCCCAGATGCCCGCAGCCCCCCATCCCTGAGGGGGGAAGCCCGGGGTGGAGGGAACTCCCCGCCACCGCGGAGGCGGCAACACCCGCCGCGGCCAGGCGCGGGGTCCGCGGAGGGTGGGGACACCGCGCGCCCTAACGCCCCTCCGCACGCGCGCCCGGCCGGCCGGGCCGGAGGAGCTCCGCTCGCGGCCGGTGGGCCCGCGGGCGTCCGCGATTCGCCCGCCCTACTCGCGCCCGGCGCGCACTCCGAGGCGGTCGGGGGCGGGGGAGGGCGGCGGGGCCTCCTCCGGCGCGGGAGGGAGGAAGAGGGGAGGGAGGAAAATGGCGCGGAGCGCCCGGGCCTCAACCGCGGCCGGCCCCGTGGGGGGCCCAGGAAGGCGCGGGGAGCCCGCGGCGGGCTCGGGCCGGACCCCGGCCCGCGCCGTGACCCCGACCGCGCGGCGAGCCGAGGAAGCCAGCGCCGAGCTCACCTTGGGCTTTTCGTCGGCCATGGCGAGCGCCGGAGTCTCCTCAGCTGCCGCTTCACAAAAGAGGTACCAGGTCCGCACCGAACGAGCACACAAGCAGCACCAGGAGCGGCAGAAGAAGGAGGCGGCAGCGGTGGAGGAGGGAGAGGGCGCGCGCACGTCGTGCGCTCCCTCCCCCCACCCTGCGTGCGCGAGCACGAGTCGCCGGGGCTTCCTATTGGTTGCCGCCTCGCGGGAGCGCGCAACGCTTACATAACCACCCCCACCCCCCGCCTCGCACCGCCCTGGCCTGGGCCCGGCGCCCGCCAGGCCGGCGGGAAGAGGCGCGGACACGCGCACCCGGCCCGCCGCGGGGGCGCGCCTGGCTCTGGGCGGGGCTGTATTGTCCTCCTTCTGTGGTGGAGCTTAATCAAAATGGCTTCCAGCTGGTCCTTGGTGGGGACGAGGAGGCTCGAGGCCTAGACGTGAGACTCAGGCCGGGGAAGGCAGACTGAGTAGAGGAGGAAGGGGGAGCCTAAGTAAAAGCCCCAGCAGGAGGATCTGGGAAAAAACCATCTTGTTTGGTGACCCAAATGCAGCTTTCCACACGGTTGGAGGTACATCACACTCACTCAGCCTCTCATCTTTTGAATTTTAAAGCTTCAGCTTCAACCCGCTTCCCACCGGCCTCTTGCTTCAGTGCGGTGCCTCCTTGCTTCTTGCTGGTAAACCCGTACTTGGCTAGCTGAGGAGAAATTTTCATCCTACAAACTCCTTACTCATGGCCTGGCTCCCAACTTCCAAGAGGAAACAGGATCTGTAAGAGTGAACCACTCAATATCCAGCTTCCAAACCAATCGGTCAGGTTAAAAAATAGAAGTAGGTCCCTCCTGTCTTAGGAACAATCCTGACTTCAATGCAGTGGATTCCTCCCGCTACTCTCGGTAGGTTTTATTATTTCCTTCGTCCTGTGCTTTCTTCCACTCCTCCCTTAGCATAGAAAAAGACTCTTGATTCTGTTTCCTTCTTCTATCTAACTCCATTCTTGGCCAAACATCTTGAAAAACTGTCCATGCCAGCTGCCTCCACTCCCTCACCTCCCACTCACTCCTCAATCCACGGCAATCTGGTGCTGTCCCTGGAGCTCCGCTAAAACTGCTCTCTGCAAGGTCACCACAGGCTTCTGTGCTGAATCCAGTGCGCCTCCCCGTTCCTCACTCCTCTGAACTCCCTCCCTGTGACTTTGGGCTGTTGACTCGGGCCGGTCCTTGGTCCCTTTGCAATTCTTTTCCTCCTCAGCCCTTCCCTTAAATGTTCCTTGCATTCTGTTTTAGATCCTTTTCTCTTATCACTCTGTTCCCTCTCCTGGGATGATTTCACCCACCTTCTATTACCACCTATTAGCTAATGATCCTCAAATATGTATTTCTAAACTAGATCTTGCTCTGATCTTCCAACCCGTAAATCCAACTGACCTGTGAACATCTCCACCTGGATGTCCCAGAGGCACCACAAACTCAGCAAATTTCAACTAAAATTCCTTACTTCACCTTCCGGGAACTGCCCTTCTCCTTTGAGTTCTTGGTTCACTGAGTGGCACACCATTACAACTATTTCTCCTCCAAGCCGGAGAGCTAGGGGGCGTCCTTGACTTCCTGCTCTTCTTCACCCTCGCCGGTCCCCATGCAAAGGATCTTTGAGTCTAGTCTATTCCACCTTCTAAATACCTACCAAATCTAGCTACTTCTCTTCAGCCTCTGTCTGGTCTCTGGGCTAGTCTCATTTCCTGGGCTTCCAGCTGATGCTTCATGGGGAAAAGGAGGCTTAAGGCGCTAGGTGTAATACCGGCCAAGGAAGGCAGATTGATCAGGGCAGGCAGGTGAAGCCTGAATTCAAGTCGGCTTACCCCAAGGCTACTGCAATAGCCTCCTGTTTTGTTATTATTTTTGTAAGGTACGTCCCTCTTGTGCCTATATATTTGAGTGGATCAGAATCATCTGGGGTACCATTTTTTGTTTGTTTTTGTTTGTTTTATTTTGTTTTAAGCAAGCTCTACTTCCAACATGGGGCTTGAACTCACTTCCCTGAAATCAAGAGGTTCATGCTCTACCACCTGAGGCAGACGGGTGCCCCTAGGGTACCAGTTTAAATGCATATTCTTAGAAAAATAAAATAAAATAAATGCATATTCTTGGGCAATGTGGCTCTGGAATCCCCCATTTTTAACAAGCTTGCCTGGTGATTCTTGCACACACTGGTCTGAGAACCACAAACCATTCTTTTTTTTAAGAATTTTTATTTATTTGACACAGAGCGAGAGAGCACAAGCTGAGGAGTGGCAGGGAGAGGGAGAGGGAGAAGCAAGCTCCCCGATGAGCAAGGAGCCAGATGCAGGGCTCGATCCCAGGGTCCTGGGATCATGACCTGAGCCGAAGGCAGACACTTAACCGACTGAGCCACCCAGGCGCCCCACAAACCATTCTAAAGTAAAAACAAGGGCGCCTGGATGGCTCAGTTGGTTAAGCGACTGTCTTCAGCTCAGGTCATGATCCTGGAGTCCCAGGATGGAGTCCCGCATCGGCTCCCTGCTCAGCAGGGAGTCAGCTTCTCCCTCTGACCATCCCCCCTCTCATGCTCTCTCTCAAATAAATAAAATATTTTTTTATTTTAAAGGATTTTTTTTAAAAGATTTTTATTTATTTATTTGACAGAGAGAGACATAGCGAGAGAGGGAACACAAGCAGGGGGAGTGGGAGAGGGAGAAGCAGGCTTCCCTCGGAGCAAGGAGCCCGATGCGGGGCTCGATCCCACGACCCTGGGATCATGACCTGAGCCGAAGGCAAACGCTTAACGACTAAGCCACCCAGGCAGCCCAATAAATAAAACTTTAAAAAAAAATAATAATAATTGGGCGCCTGGGTGGCTCAGATGGTTAAGCGTCTGCCTTCAGCTCAGGGCATGATCTCAGGGTCCTGGGATCGAGCCCCGCATCGAGCCCCACATCGGGCTCCCTGCTCAGCGGGAGGCCTGCTTCTCTCTCTCCCTCTACTACTCCTCCCTTCCCTGCTTGTACTCTCTCACTCTCTCTGTTGAATAAATAAATAAAATCTTTAAAAGAAAGTAAAAAAATAATAATAATAATAAAAATAAAGTAAAAACAAAAGTTTTTGCCACTCCTTGGTTCAGTGGCAATCCTCTGCCTTGAAGGGTAAAGTCCAAAATTCTTTTTTTTTTTTAAAGATTTTATTTATTTATTTGAGAGAGAGAGAGCAAATGGGGGGGGGAGGGTCAGAGGGAGAAGCAGACTCCCTGCGGAGCAGGGAGCCCGATGCGGGACTCGACCCAAGGACTCCAGGATCATGACCTGAGCCGAAGGCAATCGCTTAACCAACTGAGCCACCCAGGTGCCCAAGTCCAAAATTCTTATAAGACCTACAGAGCCCATTGAGAGCTAATCCAGGCTAACCATTCTAGCTCTTTCTCATCATTTCCTCCTTGAAATGTCTGCTTCAGTCATATTTAATTACTTGGGGTTCCTGAATGTGCCAGCTCTCTATCAACTCTAAGCTTTTGTCCATTGTAGGTACTCAAAGATTCACTGAATGAAAACACTGAAGCTATCCCTATGTGTAAGGTCATATGTTAGGCACTGGGCAAAGTCCCTGACTCAGATAACTTATAATCAGGCTGGGGGTGGGTAGGAAATACACAAGAAGTGAAAGGGGAAGAGAACTAACTGCCCTGCAACAGGCACTGAGCGGGACGTTACTAATATTAGCTCATTTTCTCCTTACACAAACCCTTCCAAATAGGTGTAGTATTTATTTGCTACTGATGGTCAAAGAAGTTAAGTAACTTGCCCAAAATCACGCAGCTGGCAAGTAGTGTTGATTGAGCTTCTACTGTATGCCAGGGAATGAACAAGCTGGGTACTATGCCAGGTACTATAGAGAAAGAGAGATGCTATCCTTGCTCTCCTGAACCTAGGTCTTCTTTTGCCATCACATACCTTCCCAGCCTGATAAGACTGGAGAACCATCAAAAAGGAATATGTCACGTTAAACTTACCCTTGTTAATATATGAGGGCCTCCAATAATCAAATGGTTGTTTAGTCATTAGCTTTTGGGCGACAGGTGTCTTACAATATCCTTCCTCTCCAAAGTTATGCTAAATTACAAAATCACTTTCAGGGAAAGGAGGAGCTCCTATAAAAAGTAGTTAAGCATATTCAAATGTGTAAGCATATATATTCCAATGGCAGGGGTTCCTGGGTGGCTCAGTTGGTTAAGCGTCTGCTTTCAGCTCAGGTCATGATCCCAGGGTCCTGGGATTGAGCCCTGCATCAGGCTCCCCGCACAGCGGGGAGTCTGCTTCTCCCTCCCCTGCTCCCCCTGCTTGTGCGCTCTCTTTCTCTCTCTCCCTCCCTCTCAAATAAATAAATAAAATCTTTAAAAAAAAAAATTTCCAATGGCAGACCAGAATTCTGTGAGTTGAACCTAGGGAATCTACTAAAGTTGTATACTGAGAGTCTCTTTCCAATTTCCAAGGGGGAAAAATGTGAAAAGATAGAAATTTCCCAACATAAAATTTCTCCCTTCATCATTTTTATAGGGGTGGGAAGGGGGTGGCTGTGCACTGGAAGAGGGTGCTTTAGAATAAGAAAGTAGAGGGGCACCTGGGTGGCTCAGATGGTTAAGCGTCTGCCTTCAGCTCAGGGCATGATCTCAGGGTCCTGGGATTGAGCCCCTTATCAGGCTTCTGGCTCAGTGAGGAGTTTGCTTCTCCCTCTCCCTCTGCCTCTCTCCCCTGCTCATATTCCCTCTCTCTCTATCTCTCTCTCTCTGTCACATGAATAAAAAAAAATAATAAAGTAGAAGGGGTAGCAAATACAGAAAAGAACAATGGCAGATGTTCATCGAGTGATTATTATCTGGGGATTCTATGCTAAGCCCTTGATCCTCACAAAACCTCTATTATTGTCCCCATTTTACAGATGAAGAAAATGAGACATAGAATGGTTGGGCAACTTGGTCACCCAGCTTGAAGTAGCAGAGCCAGAATCCTATGCAGTTCAGGCTTTCCAACTCAGAGCCCAGCGCTTAGTTACCGTCGGACGGCATATAGATCCATATGGAAGGAAGAGAAAAAACAGGCAGAAAAAAATCCTAGAATAGTGCCAGGAGCACCAGTTAAGTCGTTTTGACTTA